CTCTCTCTCTCTCCATGCACTCCCTCTCTCACTCTCTCTCCCCACCCACTCCGCGGGTTAGTTTGGCCCTGGTCGTTTGCTCGCTGGTTCAAGCTCAGAAGTGCCTATTCGAGATCAAAACGAGCCAAGCATCGCAAAAAAAAGAAAGAAACTCTTGAGTCATTCACATAGGCCGGAAGAACAGCAACTACAACAAGAAAAGTAATATATATACTTATATATGTAAAATATATATATAAAAAAAAAATAAAAAAAAATTGTTTGCAGATCAGCAGAACTGACCGATCCCGCCAGCAGCGGGGATTCGCCTGCTTGGCTGAACTATGGAACCGTCCGCACCTCCCAAAAGCGGGAGCACTTGATCGGGCTGATCAGTGAAATTGTCTGTTCCCGCCAACGGAGGGAGTACTTAGTTAGTTGATTAGTGAGAGTTGTTGTTCCCGCCAGCAGCGGGAATACTTGATTAGCCCGAATCAGCGAAACTGCCAGTTTCCGCCTGCAGGGGGAATTCTTGATTGGTCTGTATCAACAAAACCGGTCGTTCCCGGCAGCAGCGGGAATGCTTAATTGATCTGATTCAGCAAAACTGCCTATTTCCTCCTGGAGTGGGAATACTTGATTAGCCTGAATCAGCAAAAACCGTTGTTCCCACCACCAGGGGGAATACTTGGTTGGTAAGATACAACTGTACGACCTGCTCCCGCCTGCGGCAGGATCGTCTGATCTGATATTCTCCGATGAGCTCCGTCCCCGCCACCGGCGGGATGATTACACCGAAGATGGTGATCGCTGCTCTCGCCTGCAGCGGGATGATCACACTGAAGATGGTCGCCCCCCCAGCAGCGGGATCGTTAGATATGATATTCACCGATGAGTCTCGTTACCGCCAGCAACGGCGGCTCTTAGTCAGTCGTGACCATGGTAATCTCCGTTTCTCACGGTAATCGTCCTCCTCCTAGTCAAACTAGCACCCCGCACACCTTGCACACTGCCAGAATCCCTTTCTCCTCACACCGTCTCCTTCGTTTCGCCCGAATGCGCAGGTGCCGCAGCGTACCCCTTGCGCTCGTGAGATCCGCGTTGACTTCCTCAGTGTCTGCGACGTGGGCGGGGTACACCTCGCATGCCGCGAGAGACTGCCCCCCGTCTCCATCTCCTGTAACCGCCTGTGCACTGCTCCCCGTTGACATCATCAGTATAAGCGACGTGGGCGGGGTACACCTTGCATGTTGCGAGAGACTGCCCCCGTCTAACTGTCCTACCAAACCAGTTGATCTTCGTTATGTCCTCCTGGTACAAGAGGCCGTGGCCTCAAGAGACTGCCAGTTTACCCCGCATTGGCTAAAGCAGGCTCGGTACCAGGTCTGTGTGGCCTGCATTGGGAAAAATGGGTCAGGCACCAAGCCCAGTGTGATCTGTATCAACAAAAATATGCCAAGTAGATTCGTATAGCAGGTCCCGTACCAGGGAAAAATCCATGGGACTGCTACAAACGGCCAGTGTCGAGCCAGAGTAGAGCGGAATGAACAAAGTCAAGTTGCAGTGTCTCTGATCATACCAATTACCGGGCTTGAAAAGAAAAGGAACAGGCCATAGTACGTTGCCGCAGTACCTTGCCTGTGTCGTACCATTGGTCAATCTGCAGTGGTACCGTCGTCGAACTTGTCTAGAATCAGTATACCGTACCAAACTTGAACCAGCGTGACCAGACCGTCGTTGAGCCAAATCCGTACCACTAATCAACACCAAGTTGGAGTAGTACAACACCAAATAGTAGCAACAGGCTGTTGTGAGTCTCATCAATGTCGGACCAGTGACCGTATCAAAGAAAAGTACCAAACCGCGGAATTTTGTCTCGGCGCCAAACCAGTGATCACACAGAGTAGTAGTGACGCGGCGCGGCAACCCGATGTCGACATTGAACTAAAACCGAATCTGAGACACATATCGAGCAGTGTCGTGCCAACGCCGAATCAACACCGAATCTGAGGCAACTGTCCCGAACTGCAGTGGGCTGTACCGTACGGACGCCGAGTCATTACCGAACCTGAAACATGTCGATGTCGAGCCAATACCGAGCGTGATATCGAAGCAATTGTCGGACAGAGGTAGTACCAACCCCCACTGACCATGCGGCCCCGCTCTCTCGAAACACACCAATTGCGGCAAGGCTAGTAACCAGATATATCAGGTAAGTCACGTGAGCGATGTCAATTATCGGAGAATAGGGAGGATCGTTAAATCAAGGTAAATAAATAATCCGGCCCTAAACCCATCACGAATAACTTAAACAGAATTTAATGAAATATTAGATAATCATTAATTTTCTTCCCTTTCAATCATTTTTAATTATTTTCCTTATTTCTTAATCCTATCATAAAAAATAATGAAAATAAAAATAATTCCAACAAAAATGAATTCTGATGGAATTCAATTAAATAACAAAATTTTCTTTGTTTTCTTCTTCTTTTATTGTTTTTGATTCCTTTCCCTATTTTTGATTCTATTACTGGAAATAACAAATAACGACGGTGATTCCATCAAAATTAAATACCGAGGAAATTCAATAAAATAAAGAATATCCCGTTTTTCTCTTCGCTTCTATTGTTCTTAATTCCTTTTCCCATTTTTAATTCTGGTATTAAAATTAATGAAATTCGAGGCTCCATTCCTACTCCAATTGTGTAAAGTAAAACGGTCATGCCAAGGCCGACTCCCGTATTCCCATCCCGAGGCTAGCTGCTTCGGGAATAGACTCGGAGCAAGCGCAAGAGAGGTGGGGCACAGCGTGGTAGAAGCAATAACTCCCCTCGTTAATTTGAGGGTTACTCTCAGTGGTCAGCCCATCCAAAATTAGGGGTGCTCTCGGTACCCCTAATTTTCCCCGTCAGGTCAAACAAAAGTACCGTCAAAATACGGTCCAGTCATCGGGTCGAAGACTCAAAACCGCTGATTTCGGGTGGCCCACTGCGTGTGGCCGCCCGACAGCTAGCCCGGACCTCTTCTCGACGCCCCCGTCGAACCCTCAACTTGCGCAAACTCAAATTGAACCTTCGGGCGACAGACCGGACCCATTTAGAGTTGTTTTGGAGGGATGCAACCCTTAGTCAGCAGTATCTAAGAGAAGAGGTGGGTGGTAGGGCCACAATCCCTGATGGAAAAATCGAAATTTGTGTCTATGGGTGCACGTTAAAAAGAGAAAATTTTCTGACGGAATATATTTTTTTTAATTAACGATTAATAAAAAAAAAATAATAAACAAATGTTTAATTATTGCGTTTCTAAGAGTGCACGTCGCCGGTTTTGTGGGGGAAATGTGAGAAAAATTCGGTAAAATCCTTTAGAACAAACACACCCCCAGCGAACGCTGCTAAAAACCGCTCCGATTGTGGAGTGTGCGAAATCGTGCAAATCCTCGCTCGTTTAGCGTAACGAGGGTCAATTCGGCCCCGTTCCGCGTCGCTGAAAGCTGTAGCCTTATCGTAAGTCTTGAGTACCTTTAATACTCGTTCTCTTTCCTGCGGGGTTAAGTTCTCATCGTCGATATCCATCCCTGCTATCCTATCCTCTATTAAACGTTGTGACTCTTTTTTTCCCTTTCCTTAATCTCTTTGGCGATCTCCTCTTCAGATATTCCTTCTCGCGCAGATCGCTCTCGACGTACCGCAGTAGGTTTAACTTTCTAACCTACTCGCTTGTGGTGTTTGGGTTGCTCCGCGTAGGTGGGCTGTGCCCTTGAAAAAGACACAGTTATCACGCCGCCGAATTCTTCGTTCCTTTCCTTTGGATAAGAGTTCCCATCCATTATCAGCCGATTTCCTAAATCTTTCACTTCTACAATTCGGCCTTCTTCTTCTGTGAGCAGGGGTCCATACTTCTTCTCGCGAAATCGCACCGCGCGGCCGGAGATAGGTAATGACTTAATCCGATCACTGGGTCCCGCACCCACAGCGAGAGTTGCTCTGTTCCTCGGGTCTCGAGGCTCTACCGTCTCAATCATAACCCGCGTCTCATCTAACTTCTTAATGGACAGTGTCTGACTCCTGTCGGGTCGCTCTATCGTCACCGCATGCACGTGGCTTAGCCACGTCCGTCCCAAGAGCAGGTCAGAGCTGCAATTCTTGACTGCAAAGACTGGCAGGGTCACTCGTACCGCTTGGACCTCTATGGCTGCCTTGTGACAAACCCCTGTGATCTGTTGCTTTCTCCCATCAGCAGTTCCTATTTCGAATAGGTATGACCTATCGAGTCTCAGTCCAACTTGCTCTGCCAGATCCTCGTCTATAATGACAGTCTCACTGTCGTTATCGATCACAGCATCTAGTACCGGTCCGTTGTTTAGGATCGCCTCCACGGTCCCACTACCAAGTATGTAAAACTTGTCTGGAGGCACACCTTCCATCTCATCAAGAAGAACTGTCACCATGCGATCTGCTCTAGCAGTCACCTCTGATACTGCTACAGTAGGGGCATCCGCCTTAGCGGCCACCTGAGCCTCCTCTGATAGAGGTATGCGAGTCTTCCGCGTGATAATCTGTAACTCGTCGCGAGCCGGCTTGAATGCTGCCAGATATTCTAGAATAGAGCACTGCATGGGCTGCCGAAGGGCCCGTCTCAGTGGCTTGACCGTGTCAATCTCATCCAACGAACTCTTCATCAAGAACTTCTTCGCGTCCCTCTTTCGCGGTGAAAGAATAACCTCCTCTCCATCGATCCGTTGTTCGTCCTTCTCCGCCATCACGTAATCCGTGTCAGTCTTCCTCGATGTAGACCCTATCGCCGACTTGGTAGCTGCCACCCTTATGTATGTGGTTGCCATATCTCCTTCGAAAGTTATCTTGATGCTCTGACTCCTAACCGGCTCCTTTCCTTTACTCGGCCTTACTCTCCTTGCTTTTACATTCTCCTTCATCGAAGGGAACATTGATACGTCTCCCAGGTCATCTGCCCACTTGACGTACTTGCGGTCATCCAGCACGACAAGTCTCTCATCTATTGCCCGTTTGAGATCCGGGCAGTCTCTCTTGATATGATCATCCCCTCTACAGTAGACGCAAGAGTTCCTGGGAGAGGGTGGCCTGTCGTCTGCGCTCCTAGAGGTCGAACCCCTCGCTGCTCTGGGGTCAGGGAACTTTGTATACGGATCGGATGACGCGCCATATCTCCCTCTCTCATTCCGGTCGCGCGAATCATTGCGGCAGTCTCCTCTAGATCCTCCTTGCTCATATCGTCCCCGGGAGTCATTCTGGCGGTCTCCATGGTCGTATCGCTCGCGTGACTCATCGCGTCGATCTCCTCGGTCGTACCACCCCCGCGAATCATCGCGTTGTTCTCTCGTGAATCCCCCGCGGTCATACCGCCCGCGCGAGTCATCCCGTCGGTCTCCGTCTAGATCTCCTCTCTCATACCTGCCACCCCTTTATCCATCTCAATCCGACCTCTCATATCTGTCGTCCCTATATCCATCTCGGTCCGATCTCTCATATCTGTCGTCCCTGTATCCGTCTCGCCGGCCCTGATCTGACTCCCACCGGCCTCGAGAGTCGCCTCTACCCTCATCAGCCTCATGGCGAGGGCTACGCGAGTAATCATCCAGTCTCCTAGCTCGCCTATACGTCTCGCGAGCCCTGCGGTCCCGGTCTATATCATCATCTCTACGTCGCCATGGCTCATCGTATCTCTCTCTTTCCCTCGCACGATAATCAGTCAGCGTTCGAGGATTTCTATCCTCGACACTCCTCTCAGAATCGGTGTTCCTACGGTCCCAGCGAAGTGAATAGGGTCCTCCGGGTTTGTCCCGGTAAGTCGTGGCTCCTGTGGTGGTCACAATCTCTGTAACTCGTCTTGTCAATCCCTTTACCATGTCCCTTATCTCCTTCACTTCCTCAGTCACGCCTTCATTCTTTTCCGACCAGGGATAGTCCTTGAAATCAGGACATCTATCAGTGGCATACTCCTTATATAGAGAGAAATCACGCCTCCTCATTCCTCTCCATACCAAGTCCTTGTAGTCGTCTGCCTCTGCCTTTATCGCGAGCTTTAGGACTTCAAGGAAGTCAAGCTAGTCGCGCGGGAGATCTCTAAGTATATTATTTTGTCTGCCTTTGGACAGGTGTCCAATGAAGATAGTACAACGCTCGACCTCTGATATTTTCCTCTTCTTCATCAGTACGTCAAAGATCTTCTGAAAACGCTTCTCGAACGCCCGTACGCCCTCGTCCTCATCCTGAGTCATAGTCTCAAGGTCCTTGATGGAGTACTTGTTATCTTCTAATTTGTAAAGCTCAATGAGGTTCTTCTTATACGTAGTCCATTTCCCATCCTTCGGTCGGGCTTCCTTTACTTCTTTGTCGAGACTTGGATCCACATTAAATAGAAAGTTCTCTATAATCTCTTCCTCTAACCACTGACTCCGGCTAGCATGAAACTCCCACTTCTCCAGATATTCTGTGATACCGTAGCCCCTGAAAGTTGGAGGCTCCGAGGCCTAGTGCGTAATAATGTAGCGATCCTTGCTCTTGTAAGGGAGCAGATGGGACTCCCCCGTCTGGGGGGCCCATCTGGGGATCGAAGACACGCCGGGGCGGTGGTCTATCCCTGTCTCTGTCCCTCCAATAGGAATCTCGTGAACTCTCTCTCCAGTCGCCCTCGCGCCTTTCGGCCCTGGTTTCCCTCCGTTCATACTCGGGGGAGCGTCGTGTCGTCGCTTCTCGTCGAGCGCTCGACGTCCCAGTCTTTAAAGTCTCCTCCGGCTCTGTCACGACCGGCTCGCCCATTACGCCGGGTTCTCCGTCATTAGTTAGGTCAGCCCATCTCAGCGATGCTTCCTGCCTAATTCGTTCCTTCAGATCCCTCAGTGCTCGGTTGGACGATGTCCTGTACTCCTCACCTGCTTCGCCCGTGGTCGGTTGTTGCCCCATCGTGTCTGGTTCCATAGGCTACCAGAAGCTGTAGTTGGACACTTACGCCATGCGTTACGAGACCGGACCTATGACAGTTGCAGCAGCCCGGACCTGTGACAGAACTCGCAGAACGGACCTACTTGTGAACAGTTTCTTATGTTCTAACAACTACGCTAGGAACTTCTTCAGTTGGGGCGTTGGGCTGGCTTGAAATTAGAGCTTACGGGCGACAGCCCCGACCCATTTTGAGTTGCCCGGGAGCGTCACAAACCCTGGTTAGCAGAGCCCAAGACAAGAGGTGGGCGGGAGAGCCGCAACCCTGATCAGCGACACCCTGCAGTATGCAAAAAGCTTAGTGAGAAGGGCGGGCGGAATGAGGGAACACCTCTAACAGCAAACTGTCGTATGAGAAAAGGAAGACTAAGAATAGTCAGAAATAGGGATGTGAGAGAACCTCAAGAGACATTGGTAGAGAGAAGTACAGAAGGGATTAGGAAGGAGGCGCGATGACAGCCTAACTGGAACTTTCCGCAGATTGACTGATCCCTTGCGGATCGGAGCCGTACCGAAGTCGTACTAATCTAGACTGATCTAAAAAGAAAAGGGTGTTGAAATCCCGGTTTCGGATTGGCCTATAGGCCTTATATTCAAGTTCCCTCGAATATAAGGCGTGGGTTCAACTCGAGGGAGTTCTGTTTACTGCACCCTCGAGTAGGTATCCGAGCAACGGACCCTGTTCCCTAGTCAAAAACCCAAAATTAAGAGCTGAGCGTACTCACTCTTTGAAATTTTAAGCCTTTTTCACAATTTTAAGAGATTTTTAATCGTTTAAATTAATAAAAATGGTCTATAGACGAGAAGAAAGCACTACCTCACGCTCAGCGCATAGGGGGATGTAATGAAAACCCTAGCGAGTCGCGAGGTACGCACGTGCTTCCTTCTACCCTTTGCTTTTGATTTAATCCGAATATTTATCAAATAATTATAAAAAAAAAGCTTTAATAACTGAAAATTCCCGTCACTTGCCTCAGGCCTTCGGGAACAAGCCAGTAGGTTCACCTGAACCCAGGTTACCACAGCTTCTCTTTGCCTTCTTCTTTTAGGGAATTCTTCTGTATTTTTTAATTATAAATTAAAAAAAATATATTTAGTTATGATAAAATCTCTTTCTTAGTTTATATATATTAAGGATCAATACATATATAAGCCCGCCGAGTTTGAAGATTTTTAGAGGTAGAAATAAAATTTGGGGAATTTACTAAAATTTCGGCAGCGTTTCGCCTCCCCCCGTTGGGATAGGGTTCGGGCGAAGCCCTCAAACAGCGCTGTCGAAGGGGGAATATCAAAAGGAATAATGGGAAAAAAAAAAAAAAAATTGATTTAACTTGATTTTTTTTTTTAATATTTTTTTTCTTAATTAATTAGCAAAATTTAAAATTAAAAGGGAAATTTCGAGAAATTTCGACAACAGTTTTCCTTCCCCCCCGGTGGGATGGGGTTCAGAAAAAAGGTCCCTCAAATAGGTAAAGTAGATATAAAGTGCATTGAAGTCAAACAAATGCCCCTATGCAATTTTTAATATTTATTTCAATTTTTACCGGTTTTAAATAACAAAATCAAAAGTAAAATAATTCTTAATTATTTAATGGAGCAAAACTTTCCGAATTAATTTCCACAATTTTGCGGGAAATATTTAACAAAAAATAATCCACAACAAACGCGGAAGCTAGAAGCTATGTCTTCCCTCTATTTACCCGCTTCTCTCAAAATTGGGGTTAGGACTTCACCCTAATTAGGGTTTCCCCTAATTAGGGTCTTGGGTTTAGCGCGCAGCCGCACGCACACCGCAAAGCCCTGTCGACACGGGAAAATTTTTGTTAGCTTTCACTAGGTTTAGAAGAAAAACTTATCGGATTACATTTCTAAACTTCTTTTTCTTTTAATTTAAACAAAATTACAAAGAAATTCAATTTTTCGTTGATTTTCTTCCACCTTTTCTATCTGTTGGAGCTCGCCGTTTGTCCTAACGACGTCCGTTTTCCCCGACTGGGGTCTCAAAATGTGTGAAAAAATTAACGGCCCACTTTTGGTCCAGCGGGGTTCCCCTAATTTCGCTTATTTTCCCGGCCATTTCAATAAAACGAAAATAAAAAGTTTTGAAATTTTTAATCAGAAAATACAAAATATTCCATATCTCGCTTTTTAGTCGTTCGAATTTCTCCAAAAATGTCTCAAAACGTTCGCCTCGACGAGAGGACGAACTTTGCTCCCCGTGCGCCTCGACGACTGCGCGGATCAGGAGATATCGAGGAAAAACGAATTAGAGTCGCCGCTGCTGGAGGGAACGAGACTCATCGGTGAATATCATATCTAACGATCCCGCTGCTGGCAAGGACGACCATCTTCAGTGTGATCATCCCGCTGCAGGCGAGAGCAGCAATCACCATCTTCGGTGTAATCATTCCGCCGCTGGCGGGGACGGAGCTCAACGGAGAATATCCGATCAGACGATCCTGCCGCAGGCGGGAGCAGGCCGTACAGTTGTATCTGACCAACCAAGTATTCCCCCTGGTGGTGGGAACAACCGTTTTTGTTGATTAAGGCTAATCAAGTATTCCCACTCCAGGAGGGAACAGGCAGTTTTGCTGAATCAGATCAATTAAGCATTCCCGCTGCTGACGGGAACGACCGGTTTTGCTGATACAGACCAATCAAGAATTCCCCCTTCAGGCGGAAACTGGCAGTTTCGCTGATTCGGGCTAATCAAGTATTCCCGCTGCTGGCGGAAACAGCAACTCTCACTAATCAACCAACCAGATACTCCCTCCGTTGGCGGGAACAGGCAATTTCACTGATCAGCCCGATCAAGTACTCCCGCTTCTGGGAGGTGCGGACGGTTCCATAGTTCAGCCAATCAGGCGAATCCCCGCTGCTGGCCGGATCGGTCAGTTCCGCTGATCTGCAAACTTTTTTTTTTTTTTTTTTTTTTTACGTATATAAGTATATATATTACTTTTCTTGTTGTAATTGCTGTTCTTCCGGCCTATGTGAATGACTCAAGAGTTTCTTTCTTTTTTTTGCGATGCTTGGCTCGTTTTGATCTCGAACAGGCACTTCTGAGCTTGAACCAGCGAGCAAACGACCAGGGCCAAACTAACCCGCGGAGTGGGTGGGAAGAGAGAGTGAGAGAGGGAGTGCGCTGAGAGTGAGTGAGTGAGTGCACAGAATGAGAGAGAGAGAGAGAGAGAGAGAGAGAGAGAGAGAGAGAGAGAGAGAGAGAGAGAGAGAGAGAGAGAGAGAGGGAAACGAACTGGCGAGTGTTCTGAATGACAGAGTGATGCCACATCTTCTAATTAGTRACGCGCTTGAATGGATTAACAGGATTACCATTGTCCCTAYCTACCACCCCGCGAGACTTCGGCAAGGGAAACGGGCTTGGAAAAATCAGCGGGAAAAGAAATTTGCGGAACTAAGTTTTAGCTCGACCGGGTGAAAGGMTGAGCAGCAAAAGAGCTCGGTCACAATCAGGGGCTAGATGCCTTCGCCTTCGGAAACAAGAGAAGAAGGTCACGAGAGAACTAAAAAAAAGAAAAACAGAGTGATGCACGTGGCTGCACGTGGTGTCCACATTCGTGCGCCTCAAGAAGAACACGTCCTACAGCAGAGCCAGCGGGATGATAGAAAAGCCAATAAGTATGTGTGAAGACGGGATCTGGAGACTCCTATCTGGAAGCCTGTAAGTGACTAATTCCTGGTCCGATTACGGCGGTCTGATGATTGTTCACGAACGGGGAAACCAGAACACGAACCCAAGGAAGGATAATTTAGCAAAAATTATGGAACTGCCCTTCTCGCTGCTTCAAATTTGGGAGGTGCCCTGGGCAAGGTTCCTCACAAGAAGCAACCCAACGAGCTGTAAGATAATGGTGGGTTAATGAACCTGACCGCGACTGAAAGTGAGATTGTTTCAGTCTCTGAAGSATGAAAGKAGGAAGGGSKTATGAGGAGAAACCTGTCCGGTCAAGGTAATAGGGAGAGGGGTGAAGGGTGATCGAAGTATCTCTCGTCTGCCAGGAAAAATATGTTCCAACGCACCAGATGAACCTGCCCATGGGCAAGGACCAGGTACATCCGAAATTATATCCAAATCCAGCAGATTAGAATTGGTCACAAAATCTTACCTAAACACAGTCTCAGCAAGCTCCTACCAAAAGTAGACTAGGAGAGGTTCCTCAAACCGGGTCCGCGGTAGCTGCAAGATTGAAGATTTGCAAGTCTCAAGTGTTCAAATTTAGAGTCGGAAACTGGCAGGACTCAACTATTGCTGGGGATGAAAGTCATTAGGAAGTCTGCACTCAGCACATACATGGCGATAAGCTCAGTGAAGGGAAGACTCAGACTAATCAGACTGAAGCTACGCCCAACAGATTCCCAGCAGCAAACGAGGAGGACTCAGACTGAGCAGAGAACAGTCGTGCTCTGGAGACAACATAAAATAGTTCCAACAGATAAGAGACTCAGAACCAGAGAGGTGTTGCATCCACAGATCGCGGTCTCGAGCACGCAGCGAGAGGCAGTGGACTTAGAATCCATGATTGAGTCTTTCTCTCCCCTATGCCCCTACCTACGCTGTGGCATCAGCAGGGCCTTCATATTTGATTGAATCTTATTGCTGTTTTTTTCTCCTGTTCAGCATACGGTAAATAGCCATTGAGCCCAATCTTCGAATAGGGCCGTGACAGGCAGCAAAAACGCAAATAGCTGCAGGCCGCTGAGGACCTCCGAAGCGGGCGCGGCGAGTGACAGGCGCCGTAGCCCTTTACTTCAGCGGACTGTAGGCGACCCCTCCCCGTGTTTTCCTCACAACTTTGGCGCCGTTGCCGGGGAGGGGATTGCACCCCCAAGGCCTCGGCCTTCCCCAATCAACGGGGGTGCGCAGGCTAAACTAATTAGCTTTAAATAAGTTGATTAGATGATTTTTTAATATTTTTCTTTAATTTTGTAATTTATTTTTTTTTCGATATCTCCCGATCCGCGCGCTTTTGCGCGAGC